AGTAGGGTGGCAGTGGAGGGGGCCCCAAAACCCGGTTGCCCGGTTCACGTGGCCACGTCTGGCTTCGGATTCTGCTGCCCCGCAGAGAATTGTGCTCCAAATAACTGCACCAGGCCCCCCAAGGCCCCGAGTGACGTCACGAAAAGGTGGACACCCCTCCACAGCACCTGACTTACACCAGGAAGCGGCTGAGGCACTGGGGAAGCCCACAGACCCCCGCGGCCCAGGGGAGCAACCCCGAGGGGGCCGCGGCGAGGTGCCTGTAGGCTTTCGATTTTTAAAAATCAGAATCGATTTGTATCTCAGTAGACTCAGAATTCTCACCAAAAATTTTGTGATCGGTTGAAAGAGCACTGGAAGAATTCAGCTTCATTTAAATATAGTCATTCTACCCTGAAAATAGTTCATACAAACATCTATTTACATACAAACACATTAAAATTTGTGAAGAGGGTTTCGACCCTGGTGGCTGTATGGCTTGAAATAGTTTCATTGCTTTGAATAGGCATGTACACATTTGGCAAAATAAAAACAATTACCATTTAGAATTTGTAAAATAAGAGGGAAAAAGTGGCCTCCCAAAGAGGCCTCCAATTTCTCCAGGGAAAGGGCAAAGAAAAAACAACCCATCCAGGGACCTTGAGGAGATGCAAACTCATCGTTTGTGAACCTTTGATCTGTGGCAACGAAACATGACGAGGATCGGTCTCACGACACAGTTTTGCTTGTTTTTCTAAAACAAAAGATGTCTGGATTCGGAAATCGCTACTCCTAGGACAGAAACTCAGGCAACCGTTTCAAAATAGAGCCCGCAGAAGGGGCACCTTCCTGGAAGATCCTAAGTCTACTTGGCGGAGTGACTGGAAGCGTGACAGGAAAGGGAAATCACAAAGTGCAGCAACAGCCGCTGAGGAAGCCACCGAGGCCGCGCCAGCCGCCCTCCTCACACGGCCCTGGCGTTGGTGACAGAGAAACCGCTGAGCGGGCCGGGGAAGTGGCCCTCCGGCCCCAGACAGGCTCAAAGAGGCCTGAGAACCAATGTCCTTCTTGGTCTCTCAGGTCGGGGGATGAGCAGGGGCGGAGCTGGAAGACAGACGCGCCCCTGCCTTGGCCATGACTCTGCCAGAAAGTCAGTCTCACGCTGGCCTCGGTCACCCGTGGGTGTGCACTGGGACTCCCCTCCGCGGCCTAGTTCCCATCCTGAGGCTAACACAGGGGTGTCTGGTTCCAGGGCAGCATCTGGGCCCGCGGCCGCTGGCTCTGGGTCAGGCTCGGGTCTGCACGCCACCGCTCAGGTGCGTGCTCTGGGGTTTCCTTCTTCTCCACAGTAAGCTCCGCCTTTCTCCTGTGATTATGATGCTGATGAAGTGACCCTGTCCCACTGTTTCCACAGCTCCCCCAGGGGGCGCAGATGCAGAGAAGCCTCCACCGGTTCTCCTGCTCCTCCGGCTCAAACAAGGAAGCCACCTCCCTCCCTCCGTGCTGTCCTTCCCTCTGTTCCTTCTTCTTCCCTTCCTCCCCCGTCCCCCCTTCGTTCCTTGTGGAACCTCAACCCCCAGACTCTACGGGGCGTCTACAGATCAGCTACTCCCAGGCTCCCGCTGGACCCTGAACAAAGCTGTGTGTGTGTGTGTGTGCGTGTGTGTGCTGGGGCGGGAGGGGAGAATGAGCAACAGCCACACAGAGTTGTGGTGATAGGTGCAGAGGGTGCGTGCGGGCATGCACACACACACGCACACGCACGCACGCACGCACGCACCCTCCCCGGCCAGAGAGGGGCCTCGGGAGAGGAGGGGCCCTGGGCCGTGGGGGGAGGTCACCTGCTGGGCACTGTCAAGAGGTGCAGGAAGAGGACAGAGATGGGGCGGCAGACCAGGGAGGAGGAAAGACGAGACCCAGCTCAGGGTGCTGTGTCCTTGGGCGGACCTGAAGGTCACAGGCGCTCTGCTGGGGTTTCAATTCCGTGTTAGCGTTCAGTGTCTACGGCGGGAGATGGATTTGTGGGTTAATCACGTCTTACCACCCTTCAGTTCCTCTTATCAAAAACAGAAGGAAACGCTCCGTTCGAACGGGCTGCTCAGAGGAGCCCCTCCCGACAGCCTCGCCTGGCCGCAGCCCCCCAGAACGACCTCCTCAGCACAGGCATGGTTCTGAGCCCGGCTGCACCTGCGGCAAACTGTCCCCCGCACCCACTGCTCACCGGGGCGGGGACGGCAGCCCCTCCCGCGACGCGAGTCCCCAGCCTGCTTGCAGAGGGTGTGGGTCTGCAGAATGGAAGCGACCCGATCCTGGCGTCTTTCGACCCAAGAACTCGCTGCAACTCCCTCCGGGGAGCTTCCTGGGGGGTCCTGAGCTTCCTGGGGGGTCCTGAGTCGCAGCCACCTGCTGTGTCCCCAGGAGTCTGTCTGGCCCGGTGGGTGCTCTGCCACTCCCCTGGGGCTGGGTGCTGGGGGGGGGCCTGAACCGAGACCTGGAAGCAGCCCAGGGTCAGACGCTTCTGCCAGCGTCCTCCTCAGAGCGGGGTGCCCCGGCGGAGAGCGGCCACTCTGGGCTGCTTCTGCCTGCCTCTCTTCCCGGCGGCGCCGCCAGCTGTCCCTGCCAAGGCCCTGCCGCCAGGGCGCGTTCAGGTCCAGGCTAACGGGAGACAGGAGTCGCTCGGAGCAGCGGCCCATCCCGACCTTCAGCCGCCACTGGAGCATCTGGAGAGGACCCGGCTTTGGCATGTGGAGAGGAAGCATACGAAACCCCCAGACCCCCAGAGTCCACTCAGAGCCATCCCAGAGACCTAATCAGCTAATCAGACGCCTAATCAGCTAAACTAAACACCAGGCTTTTACTCTATCTCTGCAGTTGTGATCACACACGGCTTGCAAAAAGCTGGAATGCTATGGATAGTTGCCTTAAACTGTACAGGGGCTAGCTCGTGATTCATGGTGCTCCGAAGCTGGCAATTGCTCTGAACTTACAAAGAGGTTTAGCTTTCAGGTTTGACGTGTGCCCAGTGCTTAGCGTGTCTCTCCTAACAGTAGCGATTAAAAGAAAAAAATCACAACTTTTGAATTCTGTGTTAGAACTCAAGTTTGCTACTTAATTTTGAATTCAATGCCCTGCGCCCCAAGCCCAACCACTCTGTGGTACGTACATTTAATGTACACCCCAGGAGAAAAAATTATGAGTGCGATTAAAGATACTACAAAATTGCCACAGTTCCTGCTTTAGAAACAGTCATTTCCCTCCTTTCGCCTGTTGTATCTATTGTATCTGTCACAACTCTTCCATAACTTAATGCAAACAAATTAAATTCATTTCTTCTCACATCTTAAAGCAAAGATATCTTTGTTTACATGCGAGAATAATAATTCTATAATAATATCCTGGCCCTAGCAGCCAGTTCCTTATAGTAGGACATGATAATGAAATGCTGATATAGAAAGAGCCAGAGACACTAGCGCTCGGCCTGCAGGGATGCAAAATCCACTGGGAAGTTTTCTCTGGTGAAGGATCTAAGCGAGAGGACAGGAGAGGAGGGGTGAGATGACTCAGAAGTGGGTTCTGTCCACGAGGGGAAAAAACAAAGCCATTCTATTGCAAGATACAGATCAAAGGTTGGAAGGCAAATTAGACTACAGTTAAGAGAATAGACTCAGATAATTCTCTACTCTCCGCACAGTGCCTATGCAAGTGTGAGAACAATGCCATTTGCATCGGCCCTAGGAAAAAGAAATCATGGAAAAACCACCCACTAAAAAAATGACCGAAAAGCCCCCCCCCTCAGTCTGATCATTTGGCATCTCTGAATGGGGTTCAGATTTAGACTTAACCACCCAGAGCATCAAGCTGGCTTATGTCAACTCCCGACAGTACCTCGCAGCAGAAGGCGGTCGCAAGGCTAGCTAATTTTAAATCTGGGGTGAGCAGAACAGTCAGACCTAGTTAGGATGCGAAGAGTCTTCTAACGCGGAGTGAGACGGCGAGACGCGCGCGGGGCTCCGGCGGCCCGCGGTCGGGAGCCGAGTGCATAGATCGGGTTTCTGATGCGGGTCCGGACGGGCCGGGCCTCACTTCTGCTGGGCGGCCTGGAAGGCCTTCAGCTCCACCTGGTACCACTCGGGGGCCTCGGGCCCGCTCTTCCCGGGGGGGCTGTGGTCGTATCCGTAGGCCACGGTCAGCTCCTCCTCGGCCTCCACCGCTCGGAGTGTGCGGATGCACTTGATGGGCCCGAAGCGGGGGTGCACGAACCTGGACACGGGGGGGACAGACGGTCACCCTGGGCCAGACGCCGAGGCCGGGCCAAGGGAGGGAGGGGCCCGCGGGGCTGTG